TTCCTCAGCACCACATAAGCAAAAAGAAAAAAGCTGGAAGTGGTGCTGTGGCTGAAGTGGTAGAGCGCTAACCTTGAGCTGAAGAGCTGAGGGACAGTGCCCAGGCCCAGAGTTCAGGCCCCACGAACGGACCCAAAAAACAAAAAAACAAAAACAAAAACAAAAATAAAATGATTGCTTAAAGGTTCCCTAAGAAATTCCCATGAAACTGCAAAGACAACTTTCTTAATCACAGCATGTTTTCTTCAGAATCCCAGCAAACACAAACAATAATGGCAGGTATCTGACATCATACCAGACACTAGTACTGGTCACATTCTTTATTAATTTACCCTCACAAATGCACCACAAAGCAGATGTTACTATTTCCCCAATTTTATAGCTAAGAAGCTAAAGAGCTTAAGACATTTGCTAAGATCATCCAGCAAAAAGAATGAAATAAATAGGATTCAAACTTAGGCAATTTAGTTTCAGAATCCATGACCTTAACTGCAATGCTTTATGCTGACTGGAATAAATTAGAATGGCTCTTGAAAATTTTTCTTTAAAGATAATTTGACAGATCAGAGGGAAACGGGAAAACATACAACAGAGGGGCCCATCAGCTGCAATGGACATTGATGAAAATGAATGAAGCCATTCAAAGGCAGCGATGGGAGGAAAGGAATGAGAGGGTAAGAGGGAACAGCTTACACTAAGCAAAAGGGAAGAAATGTAAGTATCACCTGATGTGGAAGAAATAGTTGTATTATCAAAGCTCATAGAAGTCACAATTTAGAGACCATGATAATGACAATTTGCCTTGTGAAGGTTAAAATGTGTTTGTGACTTTAACTAAGTATCACTATTCCACAATCCTGTGAAATATATGAAATTTATGTAATCACCTAATCTCAATTTTAAGATTATCAATGAAAAAGATGACTAAGGCAGGAAGTGAGTGAAATGATTTAGGTATATTAAGCTCAGGGACAGCATCCAGGTGCTGAGTTCAAGCCCCAGGACCAGCAAAAAAGAAAAAAAAAGAAAGAAAGAAAAAGAAGAAACTAATACATGGCAGGTGTTTTGTAGTAATTATTAATTATCTAATATATGGAAGATATTCAATAGCTCCTGTCTGACATTCTTGAACATCAACAAATTTCAGATAACCCTAATTAAGACTGTATCTATTTATACTCCTCCTGCTTTCTATATTAAAAAATATTTTGGGGGGAGCAGCACTCATAGTTGCTAAGCAGCACTCTACCACTTGAGCACACCTCTACTCCCCATTTTGTGGTAGCTATTTTCAAGGCAGGGTCTCACTTTATGCCCACCCTGGCCTGGAGCTGTGATTCTCCTACTTGTGCTTCCCTGTGCCACTAGGATGGCAAGCATATACAACTCTGCCCAGGCACTGAACTTCATAGCTGGGATAATAAGAGGGCATGATCAGGCTCAGCCAGCTATTGGTTGAGATGGACTATCTCCAACATTTTATGTTTGGCCATTAAACCGCAATGCCCCAGTGGTCTCCACCTTCCAAGTAGCTAAGATTACAGGCTTGAGACACCATTATTAGGTTTATTTCTTAGAATAATTAGATTCTTTTCCCCCCCTTGGTCATGGGGCCTGAACTCTGGGCCTGGGTGCTGTCCCTCCGCTCTTAAGCTCAAGGATAGTGTTCTACCACTTGAGCCACAGCATCACTTCTAGCTTTTTCTGCTTATGTGGTGCTGAGGAATCGACCCCAGGGCCTCATGCATGCAAGGCAAGCACTCTACCACTGAGCCACCTTCCCAGCCCTAGAATAGATTCTTACAGTTCTGAAGGAAAAAAAAAATTATATTCTTTCCCTATCTGGGGGAAGGAACAAAGTTTTCTCAAATTGTTATTTCCCTCACTCTTGTTTCCTCAAATTACTCTTAGGCATCTTTTCCTTCATTTGCTATGTTTTGAACACATCCCCTTCAAAATTAGGTGCTGCTAATATGACATCATTAAGAGGGCTTCTCATTAGTATAGGATGAAGACCATTATAAAAGAAACTTTAGGCTGGGCACCATAGCTTATGACTATAATCCTAGTACTAAGGAAGCTGAGATCTGAGGATTGCAGCTCAAAGCTATTGGGGCAGAAAAGTACATGAGACTTGTCTCCAATTAACCACCAGGAAACTGGAAGAGCTGTGACTCAAAGTGGTACAGTGCTAGCTTTGAGCAAAAGTGCTCACAGATAGTGCCTAGGCCATGAGTTCAAGAGAAAGAAAGAAAGAAAGAAAGAAAGAAAGAAAGAAAGAAAGAAAGAAAGAAAGAAAGAAAGAAAGAAAGAAAGAAAGAAAGAAAGAAAGAAAGAGAAAGAAAGAATGAAAAGAAAGAAAGAGAGAGAGAGAAGGAAGGAAGGAAGGAAGGAAGGAAGGAAGGAAGGAAGGAAGGAAGGAAGGGAGGGAGGGAGGGAGGGAAGAGAGGAAGAAAGAAAGGAAGGAGGGAGGGAGGGGGGAAGGAAAAGGAAAAGAAACTGGCAAAGAGGGAAAGAGAGAAGGGAAGGGAAGAAGGAAGGAAATTTCATACAGCACTACTGCCTTATCCTTTTGCCTTTGCTTTTTGGAAACAAAGAAGAGCTATCATTAGACAACCAAACCAACCAGAGCCTTGATTCTTAACTTTCTAGCCTCCACAACACTGAGGAAATAAATCTGTTATTCATAAATAATCCTGTTGGGGCTGGGTAGGTGGCTCAGTGGTAGAGTGCTTGCCTTGCATGCATGAGGACCTGGGTTCGATTCCTCAGCACCAAATAAACAAAAAGAAAAAAGCCGGAAGTGCTGCTGTGGCTCAAGTGGTAGAGTGCTAGCCTTGAACTGAAGAGCTGAGGGACAGCACCCAGGCCCAGAGTTCAGCCCCCACAATGGGACCAAAAAAATAAAAATATAAATAAATAAATAAATAATCCTGTCTCAGGTATTGTTGTAGCAATATAAACAAGATGCCATCTTTCCATATCTTCCCAATTGCTGCAAGGGTAATCTCCCCCAAAATTCAAACTATGAACAATGTACAGAAATTGGAAGGATAGGGGATGGAAGTATGGCTCAGTAGTAGAGCACCTGCCTAGCTAGTATGAGGCCCTGAAGTTCAAATCCCAGTTACCATCCCCTCAACTCTGAAAAAAAAAAAAAAAAAGAGAGAGAAAAAGAAAGGAATTATAATACCAACATTTTTTCAGTAAGACATAATGACTGATCTTGTTGCCAGGTACAGTGGCTCATGCCTGTAATCCTAACTACTTAGGAGACTGAGATTCAAGGATCACAGTTCAAAGCCAGCCTGGCCAGGAAAGTTTTGTGTGAGATTCTTATCGCCAAATAACCACCAGAAAACTCCAAGTGGAGTTGTGGCTCAAAGTGGTAGAAAACTAGCCTTGAGTTAAAGAGCTCAGGAACAGTGCCTATGCCCTGAGTTCAAGCCCCATGACTGATTAAAAAACAAAAAAGCCAGAAGTGGAGCTTTAAAAGCCAGAAGTGATAGAGCTCTAGTCTTGAGCAATAAAGCTCAGGGACAATGTCTAGGTCCTGAGTTCAAGCGTCAGCACGCACGCATGTGCACATGTACACACACACACATAAAATCTTGAAAGAACTGATATTGTTGGTCAAAGACTCTAGCTATCACTAGAGTATAGAAAAGACAAAATGTCTTAATCTTGTATTTTCTGTACCTTGAACCTTTATATCCACTGAGATCTTTGTCCATATCCAATTCAGGAGTGGATTCAATGATTGCTTGAACTTCTGATTTCTCTTCATTTTCAGCAGAGCCTAAAATAGAATATGATGAAACAATACATATATAACACAGTACCCTATTACGAAAATCCTGCTGCTTTTATTGTTTTAAATATGTCAACTGAGTAGTTTTAAAATGTAAAAGACAATGACAACATGCAGTTATAATGGTTAAACACAGAGACTAGGAACCCAAAACAAAAGCAATACAATGTGTCCAAAGCACTGCTTTCATTCGATTTAAAGGGAGATGCTAGACATGGTCACACACAAATTTTTATAGTCCCAGCTACTTGGGAGGCTGAGTTAGAAGTAATAGCCCAGGAGTTTAAAGTGAGTCTGGATAACAGTGAGACACTGTCTTAAGCAGGCAGACAAAACTAGGGAGGTGGAATATGCAAGACTACCATACTATGGTAGAGGACAAGAAAGGATTTTCCTTTCTACCACTTAGGATCTCTTAACTCCCCAGAACCCAGCATTTTTTCTCTCCAAAAACTAGATGTAACCATTACTTCTTCTTTTTTTTTTTTTTTTTGGGTCCGGTCGTGGGGCCTGAACTCTGGGCCTGGGCGCTGTCCCTCAGCTCTTCAGCTCAAGGTTAGCGCTCTACCACTTGAGCCACAGTGCCACTTCCGGCTTTTTTCTTTTTGCTTATGTAGTGCTGAGGAATCGAACCCAGGGCCTCAGGCATGCAAGGCAAGCTCTCTACCACTGAGCCACCTTCCCAGCCCCTACCATTACTTCTTTTAAGCTTATTTACAACTAAGCACAATTAAGTGGCCTCCTATTTATACATCTAAAGTACATATCATGTTTTTACTGGGTACTTTCCTAATAAATAAAAAAACCAGGATCACTTACCTGTAGATACATTCCTAGTCTCTTGGGCTACTTGTACTTCAATGTGCTTGCTTACATCTGATTTATTTAGTGTATCTGTGCCCTTTACAAGTCCTTCATTATCTTCTTTTAATGGAGTGTCAGGAGGGATTGCTGACACATCTGAATTGGTTATTGATGCTGGTGTGGTGGCTTTAGATCCACCTTGGCTAACATCAGAAAGTTCATCCTACAAATAAAAGTAATTAAGAAGAAAGTTTTAACTAAATGATTTACTCTAAAACACTTTAAAAATGAGTAAGAGAAATGAACCTGCCCAAAGAAAGTTCTGTTTTTTTAATCAAGTCAATAAAGAGTCACTGATTTGGAAATATGTCATTAAATCATGCATTTCCCAAACAAATGAGGATTATAAATAGAAAATTTGAAAATAATACATTGGAAGTCTTAGCCATAAAATTACACATTAATGTCAATAACAGTTTATAATGAAAGCTGGAACACGTCACAGATATCAAATGACTGTAAAGTATTACAGCTATTATACAGCAGTTAGAACATGCTCTAAAATAACAGTGGAATGACCTGATTCTTCATCCCACTAAAGTTCTGCAGTTTTAAAACATTTTATATCTTATCATTTAAAGTGTTTGTAAAACATTAAAAAAAAAAAAAAAGGAGGGAAGGGGCTGGGAAGGTGGCTCAGTGGTAGAGCGCTTGCCTAGCATGTATAAAGCCTGGATTCGATACCTCAGCACCACATACACAGAAAAAGAAAGAAGTGGCCCTGTGACTCAAGTGGTAGAGTGCTAACCTTGAGCTAAATAAGCTCAGGGACAGTGCCCAGGCCCTGAGTTCAAGCCCCAGGACTGGCAAAAGAAAGAAAATTCTAAGTCAACCCTAACTTAATACACCAACTTTAGAAAGTGAGATTAGGTAAGCATTATAATAAGCAGTTCAGGGAGTAACTATTATTTAAGGTTAACGTTCAAGAGATTCATCACAGATAAAAACTACAAAAATTGGTATTTTTCTAGAAAGGAATCCACTGTTTTTACCAAATTTTTCAAGGAAGGTTATAACTACAAAGTGATCTTTAAAAACTATCCAAAATGAGATAGAACCTTAAGAGCAAATTGTGGAAATCTACAAAAAAGGGAACCTCACATAAAGTTTACTACCAAACCCAGTACAGTATATACAACTGTAGTCCTGGCTACTTGCAAGGCTAAGACAGGAGATTCACCTGAACCCAGGTAATTAAGGCCAAACTGGACAGCAACATAGCATGGTTCACACTTGTTATTCTAGCTATTCAAGTGGCAGAGGTCAGAAGGATTATGGTTTGAGGCCAAACTAGGCAATAAGCTCAACCAGTAGCTGGTGTATTGGCAAGCTGCTGTCATCAAACTGCACAGCATACTGAGGTATGGAGGATCATAATTACAGGCCAACCCTGATAAAAAAGTTTGTGAATCCTCATTTCATCAGTAAAAGCTAGGCATGGTGCTATATACCTGTCATCTTAACTATGGCAGGAAGATCAAGGTAAAAAAGTGAGACCCTATCTTAAAAGTAAACAGAGCAAAAAGAGCTGGAGTCGTATTTCATTGTATAGAGTGCCTGCCTAGCAAGCAAAAAGCCCTGACTTCAAGTAAAAAATAAAGTTTACTATTAAATAATAAAGACCTTAGGTAGCTTACATCTACTTAATATAATTTTTATAAATTATTCTACACAATAGCATAGCAATGAATTTCACATATAGTATTTAAAATATTCACTATATCACATTTTGTCTTTGCCATTTTAATAACTTAAATAATTGTATATGTCAGTTAAATTATATTTAATAAATAGATTGTAAATTTTTATATTTGTCATAAAAATTTGAAAAGTTCTTTATTCCTTCAATAGGACCCCTAATCATTCAGTTCTATTTATCCTATTTCTTTCTTTTATTTTTTTTTGTCAGTCATGGGGCTTGAACTCAGTGACTCAAAGTGACTCAGAGACTAAGAAAAGAGTCTCATGGACTTCCTGCTTGGGCTGGCTTTTGAACTGCAATACTCAGATCTCAGCCTCCTGAGTAGCTAGGATTACAGGTGTGAGCCACCAGCGCCAGCTTATCCTAGCTATTCAGGAGGCTGAGATCTAAGGATTGCAGCTCTAAGCCAGCCCATGCAGGAAAGTCCATGAGACTCTTTTTTGTTTGTCGGTTGTGGGTCTGGATGCTGTACCTGAGCTCTTCAGCTCAAGGCTAGTGCTCTACCACTTAAGTCACAATGCCACTTACAGCTTTTTCTATGTATGTGGTACTGAGGAATCAAACCTGGGGCTTCATGCATGCTAGGCAAGCACTCTACCACTAAGCCACATTTCTAGTCCCCAATTAACCACCAGAAAACTGGAAGTGGTGCTATGGCTCAAGTGGTAAAGTGCTAGCCTTGAGCTGAAGAGCTCAGGGACAGTATCCAGGCCCAGAGTTCAAGACCCACAACCACCACCACCAACAAAAAGTACACAAGTTCTAAACAACTGTGAATGGATATAATGAAAAGAAGTTATCTTTCAATTTGAGATGAAGTTTTGTGTAAATCTTCAAACCTTTTGTGAATTGGGACTACCTACACATTACTGAATCATGTTTAAGATAGCTTTGATCATATGTCATCTGAAGTGCAATACTAACCATATGCTAATAAAGTTAAATGAACTATACAGCTAATTATTTTTATAGGTCACAAATCTAAATTATTTCCAAATAAATAGTCAACTCCTCATTGCCTCCTCCCCTCTCAAAAAACAAAACTGTATTTCCTTGAACTGGGGAGTAGCACTTAATATGTAAGTATGACAAAATACTGAATTGCTAAAATTAGTTTGTTGGAAATTGAGTCAGAAAAATTGACAGTAATGGTTTTGGAACCAAAGAGGCCTACAGTGATCAGAGCTAAAAAAAAATAAAAGGGTATTATTTTGATTGATTTATCAGTCTGGCTAATTCATATTTATGTTATCATACACATGAATTCTCACTCTTATACTAGTTAGAATGTAACACATATCAAAAGCTTGTAAACCAATTAAGACAAAGGATTTCAAAGTCCTATAGAATATCAAATGTGTCTATAATGAAGAAATAATTATGCCATTGAAGTATATGACCCATATACCAAAGTGCTTATTTTCAACTAAAAATATCTCACATAACCAGTTTGGCAAAAGCCCATTTTCCCACATTCATTTGTGGACCAGAAAATCAAAGATCCAGGAGAAAGAAAAAGGGACTATGATGTCTCAATATTCTAAGGTTTCAATAGGAAGTGATAAATTAAAATCTACTTGTAAGAAAATGATGTTTTAGGTTTGCTCTAGACATCCAAATAACATGAAATTTATTTTTCTGTAACTTACTTTCCTATTATACTTTTGCCATATAAAAATATTTTACTCTTCAAAATAGCTCACTGTGTAGGCTGTACTTCTGACAACTAGACCACAGAAATAGATATAGCAAGAGAGCTGAAGAGGAATAAAACTATAAACTAGTTTTGGTCAGCAAGAAGTTCATAAGGCAATATATAAAAAAATGGGGGAAACTTAACAGGACACAACATTTCTGAGGAGTAGTATGCCATTATTCTACCTTCTACCTGGTTTTCTTTTTGTGCTGGTCCTGGGGCTTGAGCTCAGGGCCTTTGTGCTGTCCCTGAGCTTCTTTTGCTTAAGCCTAGTGCTCTGCCACTTGAAAGGCAGCTTCACTTTCAGCTTTTTTAGTGCTTAATTGGAGGTAAGAGTCTTGCAGACTTTCCTACCCATGTTGGCTTTGAACCACCATCCTCAGATGTCAGGTTCCTGAGTAGCTAGGCGTGAGCCACTAGTGCCCTGCCCATCTACTGTAATACTGTAAATTCCTACTAACATCTAATTAGAATTTCCAGGTCATCTGCCTGATTGTGCTGTTTTGGTGAATAATCTTGATAGAAATGCCATGTTAGGCTGCGTCCTATTCCAAAGTTATTCTATATGACATAGAACAATTGCTTTTAGGCTGGGCTTTGCCCTGAGCAACCTCATCTTATAAATAAGCACTTTTGCTTCATTTTGAGTGAAAATGCCCAGACAGTATGACTCTACAACTATCAGTCTAGCACAAACCATGGAACAGACTGACACGTAATTTATTTATGCAAATGAAAGTTTGCCACCTATGTACTTCAAACTAAAACAGAAAATCATGAATTTGCAAGCACATCACACATGCAGCAGAAAAACCAATCTCATGACCTTATCCAACATACCAGATGCAGGAATAATACAAAGCCCTCACCTGGACTGTATAAAAGGAAGTTTACCTAACACAAGATTGGCAGACACTAATCTGCCATCAGACTAATCTGGTTCCTGAACTCTGAACTCCAAACTTCAAATCCCATTCCTAAGGCTTCTGCTGGATCCCCCTGCTTGATGCCTGACCCAGACCCACTGGAACTGCCAATAAGCTTAGATGCTTAGAAGCAGTTCAATGCTTTGAACCAACACTGAGTTTTGATACCACTAGGTTCATGATGTTAATATCTTATCTAACACTTGCAGTGATTCTTGTTGATTCTGTATCAGATCTCTGCCCTTACTATCAATCAGGCGTCTTGTGGTGGGGTATACTTTTAACATGTTAACCATTTCTTTTTTTTTTTTTTTTTGTCAGTTGTGGGCCTGAACTCTGGGCCTGGGCACTGTCCCTCAGCTCTTCAGCTCAAGGTTAGCCCTCTGAGCCACAGCACCACTTCCGGCTTTTTCTACTTATGTGGTGCTGAACAATCGAACCCAGGGCCTCATGCATGCAAGACAAGCACTCTACCACTGAGCCACCTTCCCAGCCCTAACCATTTCTTAATAATACTATAAGTTCTATTCTTACTATGAAGTACAATGTGTGATCTGAGAATTAATATCAATAATTACTATTGGAGTAAAAACCTTGTTTGCCAACAGGCTCACAGCTATCAAGCAACAACAGTACCACTGGATATAGTTTGTGAATTGTTATTCAAGAAGTTCTGACACTGGGGCTGGGAAGGTGGCTCAGTGGTAGAGCTCTTGCCTTGCATGCCTGAGGCCCTGGGATCAATTACCCAGCACCACATAAGCAAAAAGAAAAAAGCCAGAAGTGGCGCTATGGCTCAAGTGGCAGAGCACTAGCCTTGAGCTGAAGAGCTGAGGGACAGTGCCCAGGCCCAGAGTTCAGGCCCCAC